TAAGCCGAATATAACAGTTGAGCGACCGTGCTAGAACCACGGAACTCGGGAATGCCTAACACCTTCTCCCGGGTTAACAGAATTCCTTATCCGGATTTCTGGTACGCAGACTGTAATATAGAGTCATTCTTTTCCTCGATTCGGGATTAAAATTGGTGACTTGGGACACCCTAAAACTCCCAAGTGGCGACTCTGAAATAAACAAATAAATCCCGTTTCGATTGTCCTTTAATTGGAAAAAACTCCCCTGCGCCCCTCGGGCACGGAAAAAGGAGGTGTGACAACGGCACGACATCACCCTTCCTGCTTTAACACTCCCCCTTACTATGTAACAATGAACATATAACAATAAGAAGATAGAACAAACAAGAACAAACCTTACGTCAATAATTGTTCCACAATTCCAACCTCAACTTCAAAAACAATACTCAATTATCACATATAGCCCATAAATGCAGAAGGAACGATCAATTTGATAATTAACTAGTCTAAGTATGGATATCACGATCAAACAAAGAAGTAAATTATAAGAAACAAGTCTCACCCGCATGCTTGACCCAAAAATAACACATAAGTACTCGTCACCTTACATATACGTCGTATCTAACATTTAATCAAGTAGAAAATAGGCAAACAAGTCCTAATCCCTCAAGTTAAGGCTAACCACGATATTTACCTCGCTCCAAAGATCAACTTAAAGCTCAACCACGACTTTTCCTTTCAAACAAGCCTTCAAACCAACCAAATCTAGCAAATTATCAACCAAACAATTCAAAATAAGCCTTAGGAACTACCCACGAATGAAAAAGGTTCAATTTAGGTCATTATTAAAAAAGTAAACAAAAGTCAACTCACGGACCCGCTTGATCCAGACCCGAAATTCGGACCAAAACCCAATTAACCACTCACCCCGAGCCCGGTTATGTAATTTGTTTCCAAATCCGACCTCAATTTGAGGTTTAAATTCAAATTTTACCAAAAATCCCTCGTTCTACCCAAACCCTCAATTTTTACTATGAAATTCCTAGATTTTAGGTTGAAATCTTATGAAATGTAATAGAAAATTGAAAGAAAGTATGTTAAAATCACTTACCAATGAATTAGGGAAGAAGAGCTCTTGGGAAAATCACCTCTACGGTTTCTAAGTTAGAAAATTTGAAAGAATGAGAGAAATCTCATCTAACTCAGCTTAAGTCCAGGCGCAGATGTCGCAATTACAATGCGAAGTCTTCACACTTCTGCTGTCATCGCAATTGCAATGGTTTGTTCGCAAATGCGAACTTGGACTTCTCGCAATTGTGACCGTCATGATCGCAACTGCGAACTCTGTTGACCCAGTCCCACTTCGCAATTGCGATCATGACAGGAATTTGGGACCTTCGCAATTGCGAATACTTACCTTACAATTGCGAGATCAGAGACCTGCACCAGAATAGATGAACACCAGCATTTCTTTTAAGTCTAAATTCATTCTACGGCCTATCCAAAACTCATCCGAGCCCTCGAGGCTCCAAACCAAACATGCACCCAAGTCCAAAAACATCATACAGACTCATTTGCGCGATCAAATCGCCAAAATAACATCTAGAACTACGAATCGGACACCAAATCAAATGAAATTTTCAAAGAAACTTTAGAATTGCCATTTTAATAACTAGACATCCGAATCACGTCAAACCAACTCCGTTTCTCACCAAATTTGGCAGACAAGTCATATATATAGTAATGGACCTATACCGAATTTCGGAACCAAAATACGGACCCGATATCAACAAAGTCAAACATTGGTCAAATCATTAAATTCATTAAACCTTTAAACTTCAAATTTCGACAAAAGGCGATAACTCGAGCTAGGGACCTCCGAATTCGATTTCGGGCATACGGTCAAGCCCCAAATTACGATACGGATTTATCGGGAACGTCAAAATACAGATTTGGGTTTGTTTGTTCAAAACGTTGATCCAAGCCAACTCAATTGAATTTTTAAGGCAAAATTTTATATTTTATCAATTTTTAATATAAAAGCTTTCCGAAAAATACGCAAACTGCGCACGAAACCCGAGAAAGGCTTAAAGAAACTATTGAAGGCTTTGAAATACGGAATTTTGGTTTAAAACTCTAAATGACCTATCGGGTCATCTCACTACTTGCATTTTCTATTGAATGTGGTTATATTTAATCTTATATAACTGTATATCAATTTTAACATTTGCATTATACAATAGAAGAAGAATAAAAAGATGAATGTTCTTTTTTCTTGTACAATTCAAAGAGTATGAAATGGTGTTCCTCATCTCAGGGGCAGATTTAGACCCAAACTACGGTGCGCGTGAATTCATGATCTTTCTATCAAACTAAGTATCTTATGTACATATTTCCTAGAACTGATCTAATATTATTTGATGGCTCGTGCATTCCAAAAAGGCTAAATTGTACGCTTGGTTAAATATTGAGTTATTTAAGCTGTTAAATGTTAGAATTATTTTACCAAAGGAAGATGGTTCAATTCCTGCTAAATTCTTTTTTTCCTTGTTTTTTTATAGTGGTACACCCATGTTTTTACAATCCCAGATCCGCCTCTGCCTCATCTGCCAGAGGTTCACATGATTTGTAATAATGTACAAAATAAATATATGGTCCTTATAAATGATTAGAGAGGCCAAAACAAAAATAATAATACAGGGGAAGTGGTTGGATGATTGGATTTTTGAATGTTTTTGGGTTCACTGACGAGGACTTTCACAAGAGACAATTGCAGAGCTTTTTGTAGTTAACTTACAAAAGCTTCACTGTAATTTCCATCTTTGGATCATTCACGTGATTGAGTTAAAGAGAAAATGATATAAAAGCCAGAACTTAGGTGATTACATGTTTGCCGGAAATTTTTCTGTTTTCCTTTTTCAGTCTAAAAGGAAAGCAAAGTGACTTTTGGATGATAGTCACGACTCAGGAGCGTTTAAAAGTATGAAGTTAAGCGAATTTTAATATATGAAGTAGCTTAGCTTCTTAAAGGACTCTTAATAAAGAAAGTATCTTTTATGAAAGCAAGCCTTTCAAGCTAGTTTAGAAATAAGCGAGACGATCCGATCAAAAGATAGACAAGAAGATAACGGGGAAGGACTTTTTAAAATTCTAACGGTGTAAACTTGATATTCCCTCCGTTCACTTTTACTTGACATGTATACTAAAAATAGATTTTCATTTTACTTGTCAATTTACGCATATCAAGAGAAGACAAATTTTTTTTCCTGTTATACCCACAATATTTATTACTCATTTCAAATCATTTTCTCAAATCCAATAAAATATGCATCAATTAATATGAGTATCATAATAAATTATGCACTTCATTTATTATTTCTTAAGGAGCGTGAAAAGTCAAAACGTGCTTGTTTTAGTCATTTTTGTGATTTTATTGGTACAACTAGTTCCCATATGAAATTAACCCCACTTATCATCTATGTTGTTGCTTGTTTCAGTCATTGTTGTTGCTCATAAGTTGGGAGAATTAATAGCACTATCCATTACTGGAACTAAACTTATTAATTTTCAGGACTCAATTTCCCTAGATTCTGAAGTTTTCGCCATCCAAATTTAAAAGCTTCTATCTTTAAACAATAATTGGATTTAGAATTAGGGTAAGCGGAGGTGGATCCAAATTTTGAAGCTTATGATTTTTATAGTGACCTCAAGTAAATATTACAATAATAATTGTAATTGAGTTCAAAATCAAATATCTATAGCAATGAAATTCACTGTTATAGATATTTGATTTTGAACTCAATTATATATATATNTTTTCTTTTCGGAAGTTTGTCAATTTGTCTACCAAAAATGCAATTTATGGACTATTACTCGCATTATTATTTTAGGTAATATGATAGTGTAAACGAACATAAAAGTAAAAACTCTATCAAAAAGGTAGTCCAATAGTCCAACAAAATGAATGTTTTATTGGAGAAGAAATTTTTCTTAAATATTACAAATCATATCCAAAATAGAATTAAATTAAACCCTAATCATGCCAGGTTCATATGGTACCCCACTCAACTTAACCCATTCATCACCCATAATAAACACACCAGGAGTAAATTGTGCAGCAACCTGAGGTGCAATTGTCTTTTGGTAACCTTTCCAATTAACCCTACTATATGTAATTGATCCTGGACCTCTATTTTGATACTCAGCATAAAACAAAGTGTCAAGTGCAAAATTACCAACCCAAGGTGACCATCCTTCTGGTGCAATAAACCCATCAATTTCAGATTGCATAATTATTGTTCTTGAAAATTCTTTCCATGGTCGTCCTAAATATGCTTTAATTGGTGGTTGAGCAGCAAGAAAACCTTGTTCGGCCTTTATTTGACAATTTTGCATGACTATTCCACCGACTCCCCGATGATCTTTTCTGCCTTGTGCTGTTACCATGCAAGCTTGATTATCCATTGGTTTTCTTACTATCATTTTGCAGTTTTGGAAAACGGCTGCAGCGTCACCAAAGATGAAATCTATGGTTCCTGTAATGGTGCAGTCGCGGAAGAATTGGCGATAGGAGTGGACGTATAGTGTGTCTTGATAACCATCGATTTGACAGTTGTGGAAAATGGCCATATCGCCTGAGACACGAAGTGCTACGGCTTGGTGCTTCACTGGTCCTGCTGTGTTCTCGAATCCGATATCTTTAGCCATGAAATAATCTCCATTGACAGCTGCATGAAATATAATGTCAAGAATGAACAAATATGTGTACTATCATCGTCCTGTCTTATGTGATGTGTTTGACTGAATAAAGAATTTAATGCGTTAGTTCGACTCATGCATCATATTTACTAACATTTGAAGAAAATGTAAAACTTTGTGGCCGAATATAGGAACAATGTTAAACTTTTTATGTGATTGTATTTGAGTGAATAAAGAATTCAATGCGTTAGTTTGACTCATGCATCATGCTTACTAACATTTGAAGAAAATGTGAAACTTTGTGGCCGGATGTAGGGACAATGATAAACTCTTTAGAGCATCATAAAAGGAAAAAAGTTTTATATAAATTGAAACGGAGAGATTAATACGAACGAAACGACTTACCAAATGTGGCGGTTTTAAAAGTGCCAGTGCCATCAGCATAGTTCAAGCTACCAGTAATTTTAGTCTTGGTTGGGCCTTCACCAATAAATACAATGTTGTTCATTTTCCTTGGAATTTCAACATGCTCATTGTATACACCAGCCTTGATAAAAATGACATATCTTTGAGTATTCATTTTAGGAACAGCATTAAGTGCCTCATTTATACTCTTATATTGTCCACTTCCATCAATTGCAACTACAACATTTGGCTTAAGGGAATCAGAGAGCATCCTTTCGTGGGCGTCTAATAATCGTCGGTTTACACCAGGGATATTCAAGTTGGCTACAACTTCACCAAAACTCGAAACCATAGCTAAACCATTGCTCGTGAGTTCCCCTGCATTTTTCAAAAGTTTTTTCATTTTCTCACCAGTATCACCAGTCGTGTTCTCAAAAGCGTCCAAACATGTTTCTTGATAAGTAATGGCACTACTGAGCCACGTTTTTAAGTCATCGGTGTAATCCTTGATTTTANGCTACTGAGCCACGTTTTTAGGTCATCGGTATAATCCTTGATTTTACTGACCTCAAATTTGTCGAATTTGTCAAAAGACCTCGTAAGATCATCAATTGCAACATCAACAAGACCTTGGCACGTTTGTAACGCGTCTTTTGTCCTAGGATCTTTTTTAGCTTCATCGATTAATGAGGCAGAATTTTTTATAACGTCAGAGAGATCGTTGATTGTGGCGTTAAACGCCACTTTAATAAGTTCTTTCGGATCGTTGATGTTTTTAGCATTGGCAAGACTTTTTTCACAAGTTTCTTTGTAATCAGTGGGTTGGCAAATAGCTTGGACAGACTTAGTAGAAGTTGAAAGACGAGAATCAGTAGAATTTGATGACTTATCTTCATTCTTCTTGGTAAATGAGATGGCTGCAGCCACCACACAAGCCACTAGAAGAATTGAAGCAACACTAGCAATAGCTAGTTTCTTCACCCCCATTATTTTTATCTCTTTTATTTGAAATTAATGATTTTTTGGGGCTAATTATTTAAGAGGCTGTTGATCCTCTTTGGCTTGAAATTTTGCAAAAAATGAAAGCATCTATTTATAGTGAAATGAATGACATTATTGATAGTTTTCTGTTTGAGAATTTGAGGATGTGAATGATCTCAGAATATTAGTGGAAGAAAGTTTTCCTTAATTTCTTGGTTGTGCTGCAATTCAGGTTTAACGTAGAATGTTAGTATTACATGTAATTTTCCTGTTTTATTCTCTCTTTTTCTTGGCCTAATCAATTGTTTTCTTCGTCTGCCACAAACTCTATTCATGTTTTTTTTTGGGTCCAAAAAGTCTTTTTCCTATGTTATTTTGTTAGTATTGTGTACTACAATCTTTTCCCTTTTAATTAACTCAAAGTCGAGCACTTTAGTTATTTTTAATTAGATTAAAAAGTAATTCTTCTTTTTTCTATGAAGAATACATAATATTCAAAGCATAGAGAAAAATACCGTGAGTTAAGACTATACTTAAAAGGCAAAATGGGAAATCATCAACCTAATTTTTCCATCGGTCAATAGGAGTCTTTTGGTCTTGTTAGTAACTTATGTTCCAATAAAAAATATAGAGAACCTAATTTTTCTTAAATATTGTATTGAAATATACTAGGAAAAACTTGCGGAAGCTAAACCAATCAATACCAATTACAAATCCCTAAATCTGATGTCACGAGTGCACGAGCTTCTAAAGTAATACATATAAATGTCTGAAATAAGTACAAAGCTGTCTAAATGAAGTTATACATCTAAAAAGAAAGAGGCTAGGGACTCCAGAAGCTGCGGGCACGGAGCAGCCGTACCTCATCAAGTCTCTGCCGATGTCCAATCGAGGCAAGCTAATAACCGCCGCTGGGATCGACTCCAAAATCTGCACAATGTGCAGAGTGTAGTATCAGTACAACTGACCCCATATATTGGTAAGTGCCGAGCCTAACCTCAACGAAGTAGTGACGAGGCTAAGGCGGATCACCTCTACTATAACCTGCACACAGTATATAAAAATGATAGGAAATAGGAATACGGAACAGAATTTAAACAACTAACTGAAATAATAATCACAGCCTCAAGAATAAACCAGCACCGACCAGAATCACCAATCTCTTAAGAGTTCAAACAAATAACATAAGCCAACACAACTCAAGTAATGTAAACATATAGATTGTTGCGGCGCACAACCCAATCCCACCAGACAACACACATCCTTTCTTATTTTACCGTAATAATATCAACAACAGCAAATAATATAAATATGTTGCGCGGCGCAACCCGATCCCACCATATGTCAATATCAGAATCATAATTCACCCTTATTTCACCATATTAATTCACCCTTATTCTACTTGTTGTGGCGTGCAGCCCGATCTCACCGTGCAATATGAATTCACTTTTATTCCACCATATCAATCCACCCTTATTACACCTGTTGCGACGTGCAACCGGATCCCACCATATCAGTACCAAACATTCACTGTACACAATCAAGACAACAATTCAAACTACAAAGCCTTTAGAATCAATAAAATACCAAACTGAACCAAAGGAGACCTTACACAATATAGAATCTATACAAGTGATACCACACATCGAGACCAATCCAGCAATTTACAATAAGAAGGTGCAAACAAGTCAAGTTAAGCAAATAGTAGGGATTCGTGAAACTATGAAAAGAACTAACATCATTAGCAGGAGAAGATATTGACTAACAGGTAGCAGTTAAGTATGGAAAGCATTTAGAACATATAACAGTTAATATAGGAAAGGAAACAATTAAGGAAAAATGGTAAATCAGGGAGAAAGAGATAATTCGGCAGCGTATAAGCACTCGTCATCTCGCATATACGACGCTCACATGAGAATCACATAGCACTTAATCTGAGGGTTCCTATTTTCCTCAAGTCAAAGTTAGACACAATACTTACCTAGCTCCAAGGATCACTCAAAGCTCAACCACGACTTTGCCTTTCAAACTAGCCTCCGAACCAACAATATCTAGCAAGTTACCAACCAAATGATTCAAAATAAGTGTAACGATCCGACCTGTCATTTTTAGCATTTCCATCTTGTTTAGCTATTTGAAGTATTGAGTAGCGCTATTTTGTGTAATATGACTTGCGAGAGTGGTCAAGTTTTATTTTCAGATGATTCAAAATTTAATTGAAAAAATAATTCATGTTTTGGAAGCTTAAGTTGAATAATTGGACCGGATGATAAATATGTGTAAATGATCCTGAAATAGATTTTTAATAATTCCAATGGCTCCGTATGGTGATTTTGGACTTAGGAGCATGTCCGAAATTCTTTTTGGAAGTCTATAGTTAAATTAGGCTTGAAATGACAAAAATAGGAAATTTGAGTTTGGAAGTTTGACCGGGGAGTTGACTTTTTGATATCGGGATAGAAATACGATTCTAAAAATTTGAACAACTCCGTTATGTCATTTATGACTTGTTTGCAAAATTTGAGGTCAATCGGAATTGATTTGATAGGTTTCGACATCGAATATAGAAATTAGAATTTCTTAGTATTGGATAGGCTTGAATTGGGGTGTGATTCATGTTTTAGTATTGTTCAATGTAATTTGAGATATCGACTAAGTTTGTGTCATATTATGTGACTTTTTAGTACATTTGGTTGGGGTCCTATGTGGCTCGGATGAGTTTTTGGAAGAAATTGGTATTTTGAGCATAAACATGTAACGATCCAAAGGTCCATTTTTAGTTCTAAAGATCAAAATTTGATTTCGAGACTTCCAAATTTTTTATAATGAATTATAGGAGCGATATGGAAAGTTTGGTCTAATTTCGTCAAGTCGCTATTGGGTTTTTGACGTGAAAGATGAGTTAATTGTTTAACGAGCAAAATGGGTATCGCACTAAGAAAATGATCTCCAAATTGAGTTTTGATTGATGGAATAGGTCCGTCTTATTATTTGTGACTCATAGGAACAAGAATCGTCAAATTTCGAGTTCATATGATGGAGTTAGAGCATTTTTAGTGAAATTAAAGACTGTTGGTGCAACAGGATCTGGTGCGCACCTTTAGCGACCAGATTGGACACTTGTAGCGACGGGAGTTTGGCCTTTAGCCACCAGAATCGTGTTTTTAATGCTGTTCTGGTTTTTTAGCCCATTTTGATATTTTTGGGCGAAAGAACACGGTCTGGGGCGATTTTTGAGCAAGAAATCATGAGAAATCTTGAGGTAAGTCACTTGTGATCATTTCTACTCCATAATATTGAATTATCATATAATAATCCGACTAGATTACATATTTTGAGGTGTAAATTGATGATTTGGACCTAGGGATTTGAAAATAAGATTTGAAGATTTGGTGGCTGAGTTGTTATCGAAATTTAGTAATTTTGGTATGGTTGGACTCGTAGTTGAATGGGTTGTCGGATTTTGTGAGTTTCGTCGGATTCCGAGATGTGGGCCCTACAGGCGGTTTTTAGTTAAATTTTGGATTTTTGTGAAAAATTAATATTTTTACATGGAATTAATTTATATAAATTGTATTGACTGAATCACATTAATTGTGGATAGATTCAAGGTGTTCAGATGCCGATTTACGAGGCAAGTGCATATCGTAATAAAGAACTTCACGGTTTGAGATAAGTAACTCTTTTAAACTTAGTGCTGAGGGTATAAACCCCGAATTATGTGTTATGTGATTGATGTTGAGGTGACGCACATTCTAGGTGACGGGCGTGTGGGCGTGCACCCTGTGAATGATGACTATGTTGTTTCCAGGACACTGTGTAATGGTCCTACTTTTTTGATATCTGTGTTTTCACCATGTGATAAGTAAATTGAGTTGTACATTATGCTAGATATCATGTCTAGGCTTTATGCTAATATTGTTAAGACCCATAGTGGCCGTTTCTTGCTGTCATCTCACTGATTTTATTGATATTTCGTACGCAGTCATATTCATGTATTCACATAATATCTCAGTCTCAGTTGTTATTATTGATACATTATATCATTATTTTTGGGCTGATTTTCATGATATTATGAGCCCGTGAGCGAGACTGGAGAGATTGATGACTAAGTGAGGTCGAGGGCTAGATTGTGAGATATTGATACTATAACACGTGAGTTGTCCGTGCAGATACTGATATTGATACTATAACACATGAGTTGTCCGTGAAGATACTGATATTGATACTATAGCACGTGAGTTGTCCATGCAGATACTGATATTTATACTATAGCACGTTAGTTGTCCGTGTAGATACTGATATTGATACTATAGCATGTGAGTTGTCCATGCAGATTTTAGCGTTTGGGCTGTAGGAGCCCCTCTGGAGTCTGCACACCCTTAGTGAGCGCAGTCGACTATAAATAAATGGATCGTGTTGCACGCCGCAACGAGCCTTCGGGCTATATATATATGGATCGGGTTGCACGCTACAACGAGTATAGTACAGTGCTGAGTGATTGAGAGTGCTGAGTGTTGAGCATGGTAAAAGATAATGCGAGGCAGTGAGATTGAGTACTCTGAGAGTGTGAATACATGAGTTCATTACTGAGAGGCATTGCATTTGGCATGTGTACTTGAGATATATGCATAGAGTTGCATTTCTTTCTGTTGCCTGGTTTTGGTGACATTCATGATTTTACCTGTATCTTGACATGTAGGCATAGAGATGTACTTTCCTTATGCCATTTGAAAAATGAAATCTCCTATTTTGAAAGAAAGTTTTATGGAAAAATCACAGTTTTCAGACTTACTCATATTTTGGTGATTTTAGTGAAAAAAATTGAGTTTTACTGTTATACTTGAAAAGAAAATGTTTATTTTTCCTGAACTGTGAACGAGCTGAGCATTTTATTATTAATTTATTCTTTGTGTTGCTTATGAATATTGTTGTGAAGTATTACTGGATGTGGGTATGGACCCTAACCTTGGTACAAGCTCGTCACTGCTTTCAACCTGAGTTTAGGTTTTATACTTATTGAGTACATGTGGTCGGTTGTCATACTACACTTCTTGCACATTGCGTG